GACAGTGATTGTAGCCTATTTGAATACTCTTCAAAGTGGAGATAGTGCATTAGGGGATATGCAAGACGTCAAATATCGACCGGAGAAGTATAACGACATAAATATGTCAACATGCCTGAAAGGATGTCGACAAGACGCCCTTACTTTTTAGCCTTCTCATAATAACTAATGTGCAGTTGAGATAAGATATATCAACATGCCAGAAAAACTTGTTGACATGCCTTTAACAGTATAATATATGGACAAAGTGTTTGTCGACATGCACTGAAACATATGTGGTCAAGAAGCCTAGATTTTGTACAACAAACCATGATAAAAGACGTCATGTCGCGTTTATATATGTCGACATGCCGACACACGAGTTAAATACGAACATGGCATCTAGGGGGTCAATTCAAGCTTCCATATAAAAGTGATACTTGTTGTTATATATATGTTGGGAATAATATAAAAGCATCCGATTTTACAAGAAATATAGTCAGTCCAACAATTTTGACAAAGGCCTCAGCACGCCCTATTTTGGCCACGCCGCGATACTTTCCTCGGATGTCCCACACGTGAAGTATAGGAATCGGTTTTTTTACAGGGATGAGAAATATGATTAGTGAAAAAGATATGTTCGAACAGATGGGATACAATACAACGTCTGAAGAACGCCTGAACGTACAAATTAAAGGAAGCCTTGTTTTTTTTAGGTCGGGTGTGTACATGCCATTACTAAGTTTAAGTTAAATTTCAATAGTTTTTGTCCAGGCACCCGTTTCTCCATCTCCATTGTTCAAAGGCACTGCCTACTATATCTTATACCATCTAACTAATAACTGTGGCCATTCTTGTAATGTTAATAAGTCGAAATTTCGAGTTACTAAGTCGAAATTTCGAGATAAGTAACTCGAAATTTCGAGTTACTAAGTCGAAATTTCGAGATAAGTAACTCGAAATTTCGAGTTAGTATGTCGAAATTTCGAGTTAGTAAGTCGAAATTTCGAGATAAGTAACTCGAAATTTCGAGTTAGTAAGTCGAAATTTCGAGTTAGTAACTCGAAATTTCGAGATAAGTAACTCGAAATTTCGAGTTAATAAAAAACATACACCTGGCACTAATGCTCTTCCGCTTGAATTGACCCCCTAGATGCCGTATTCGTGATTACTCGTGTGTCGTCATGTCGACTTATATTTACGCGACATGACGTCTTCTATCATTGTTTGGTGAGATAATAAAGACGTATGGGCAACGTTTGTTTCAAGGTATGTCGACATATTTTTTGTCAGTAATGGAGTTAATGGGAATCAATAATAGCTATGTCAACGTATTTTATCTCGACAAGCCTTGTTATATCTGCTTCTTGGAGAATATCACCGCGTATTTACATCATGGGCACTGTCGGAAAGACCCAATTAATATTCGGAAAGTTAACTCCTCCCACCACACCAAAATCTTTGAATGGTTCATCCTTTGAAGAGCATATTGAACACTTTGAAAGGTCTATGTGTTTTAATATAAAATTTGGTATATGTCCGTTTCTGCAGTGCATTTTGTATATGCGTTTTTATCTAACTAGCAGTTATACCAAATAAATTATGTCACAGGGTGAAAAAATGTGCAGCCTGACCGGGACTCAAACCCGGGACCCTCGGAATACCGTACCGCAGCTCTACCGACTGAGCTATCCGGCCGCTTACACATCATCGCCCCGAAATAGTGAACAGTTCCGAACCGTGACAATTATTCTAGTCAGTGCTTGGTTAGCAACCATATACTAGTATTTTATATACGTTTATATATACACTTATCAAGACGTTTGGACACCTTTAAAATGATATTTCAGTTTGCAGCCAAATGTATTATTCTGAGTTATAGTATTGTTCAAATAAAATTAAAAGGAAACTAAAAAACACGTCAGTCATTACTTGATGGGCGGGATTTAGTTTCCGGATAATAATTATGACGTTCAAATGGTCCCCGTCCTGTTTTATAATAGACATAAGTTATGTCGACATGGTCTGATACAGTTGTTGTACAGATTCTATATTTCTCCATCAAAACCATGATACAGCACGCCATGTCGCACTAATATATATCAACATGATCACATATAAATTATCACGGACCACGGCATCTCGGGGGGTCAATTCAAGCTTCCATACTTCCGTACAAAGGTGACATGTGTGTGTTTTTATTTATCTCATGGCCACGAGATACTATGTCGTGGCCACGAGTTACTAAGTCGTGGCCATGAGATACTATGTCGTGGCCACGAGTTACTAAGTCGTGGCCACGAGATAGCTAAGTCGTGGCCACGAGTTACTGAGTCGTGGCCTCGACATAGTATCTCGTGGCCACGAGATAAATAAAAATACACACATGTCACCTTTGTGCCACCGTAGAAAGGTCTCCAAACTATGATTCAACAAAATCTTACCTTTATTTATGAATCAGGTTATCAAGTTCACAGTATCTATTTAGACGTAACCGCGGATTTGAATTTACATTCAATGGTCAAATCCGCTCAATTTCGCATTTTCCGATAAACGTCAAACTGTAAAAAAGAAAAAGAAAATGCGATGTCCCTTTCACTGAAGGTAGAAAAAAGCCATCAGCATCAAACTGTGTATTTATAAAGCGTATATTGTAAGCTCACGTATGTATATAAAGTTCTACATTATACATGTATATAAGATATTTTAGTTTCACAGGTAAGCTAAATGTAAACATACACACCACTCATATAAACGAGAAGTTAATGAATGTAAAGATAGGAAATATTGACTATATAATAACATTAGAGTTGATAACCATTCTGACAACCTGGTTTATCTCCGCTCCTGAACAGTTACAGTTATTCTTTCTTTAAAAGAGTATGTTTACGTTTCAGTTCTTATCAAAAGTTGTTATTTAACAACTCGTTATGCCCTCTTTTATATTCTATCAATTGAATTACTAGCTGTCGATGGTCTGTTTATTTTGATTTAATTGCGTGATGTATGTTTAAATTTATTGCTTCAAGCAAACGTCGCTCTAAAATTGAAGGCTCTATTTAGAAGATTGTAGTAAAAGAAACGGCTTACTACCATTGATAATAAAATCAGAGACGGCAAAATAGATCAAAAACATACTGGAAGTTACAAAAGATGCTTTGGTAAAAATATGTAATAGAAAGAGCATCGAAACACGAGGCTATCTAATTTGTACGAGGGGGCCTAGCCCACGAGTATTAATCAGAGTGTTTTGATGTTCTTTATCTTTTGTATCATAGTCAAATATTATTCAGAATATTAAACCCCAGAAAAAAGTAACCAGGCCTCGACATTAGCGGTGGTACGTTGGTCCGAGACCACCTGATTTTGGCACGGACCATCTAATTTTACAAGCCACTGGTCCGTCAGACCACATGTGCAAGGCTCATTTGGGAGAATGATGATTTGGTAAAAACATGTTTAAAACCATTATTCCGATATACATGTATATGGTTCATTAATCTCATTCGTTAAAGAAGTTCTTAAGTTATCAATAACTTTCATTTTAACTAGCTAAAATTTTGTTTATGTAAATTAAAAGAGTAAAGAATTTGTTATACTAGTATTAATTTTGGTAGAAAAAATCATTCAAATGATGCTAGTACTTACTGCATTTTCTTCAATTATGATATTGTATGGGATATTTTCAGATACTTGTGAAATGGCAGCAAACGAAAGGAAATGGAAAAATATATCTAGTACTTCTTGGCTACTTATCTTTGTTTTAACAATAAGAGAGCCATTTCTTTCACAGTTAAAATTACTTTTCGGTAAGTTTTCAAGCAATTTGAAGGGAGTTAAATTTGTTTAAGCTTTATTGCCATCAACATTAAGAGTTTAGTCCCTTCAATTAACGGGGCAACAATATATCACCTACATAACATTATTTTGTATACAGTGGTAGTAACTGATCTCGTGGTGTAGTGGTTATCACATCCGCTTAACACGCGGAAGGTCCTGAGTTCAATCCTCAGCGGGATCAGATAATATTTTATTTTATCACGTTTCAAAAATGTTTTATGTTTGCAATTTCTATATACTAAAATGCTTTCTGCTTGGATCGGACAAAATAATAATATATAGGCCTATATGTAATAACGGCGTAAAGTATCGTATCCAAATTCTATTTATAATTAAAATTCAGAAAATTACTTTTTTTTACCAATTACGCACATTGGCAATTGGCAGAAACATAATTTTATTCTGTTAAGCCCATTCGTTCAGCTTTTGGTTGGCACATTACAAGTTCAGTGATACTTTCAGGTAAACACCCGTCAATGGACTCGGGATATTTCACCCCTATGGGACTGTGGAGAAAAGCGGGGAACGAACAGAGTTTTTCCCTTTCATCTCACTGCCGAGTCTAACCCCGCTCTGCCGAGTGAATGTGGTATATATGTATTTAACTCGCAGTGCTGGGCATTTACCTTCTGACTGGAGACTTAATTAACTGTTGGATAATTAGCAATACCCTACCTGGGGATGGGGTGGGTACCGTGGATACGATTCACTATTGCATGCGTTTTCAGCCACGTGCGCAGCTCAGTTTCATTTCCGATTTCTGAGCGTAGAGAAAATGTTTTAAGTTGTTTTCTGTTCGAAATAAATTACATGTACGTGGTCAAACATTTATCCGAAGTCCTTTAAAAATTCCGTATACGCCCCCAAAGTTTAATAATGCCAATAGAAGCACGTGTCATTGAGACTGTACTTTACAAGTCTAAACCGAAAGTAGAATTTTTATAAATTTATAATGAAAACCAAACAAACGTTACATCGTGAAATCTAAAATCAACGTTAAACACATTAGGCTATTTGAAAAGAAACAGATCTATTTAAAAAAAATTATATTTTCCATATTTGGAACATGTTTGCACCCTTCGAGTACCCTGAATGAACAGCTTCCGAGACCTTACCATTATTAACTAAAGGGTATTTATCCTGACTACCCTACTCGATAAAGACAGATGTCGCACTCTTGATTAATGGACTTGACTGAAAACAAATATGGCTGCACCCGGAGTACACGAATTAACACACGGGAAGAGAAAGGCACCCTTAGAACTTGACAGTCTTTCGCGAGAGGTTAGTTGTTAATTAAAATTGATGTTAAATACAATAATGGATATATGGTTGCTTTTGGGTGCACAATTATGAGGAGGAAACAGCGTAAACCGGGAAAATCTATCGGGGTATGGTGATTTTTTATCGCATGTTATGTTGAAAATGGGAATATGTACAGTAGAGTAAACGCCTGCATGACATTTCACGCTGTGTAATGCCTTCAATTAGATGAATGTTGAAAATGTTGCATGATATGTATGAATGTTAATTTTTTACATTTTATTTATTATTTTTTAAATAATTTTATACTACCACGTCAAAAGCTGGACACCACTAATTATAACTAAATAGAGAAATAAGCTTTTATTTTTTGTAGTAGAAATGATTTAATCACATGAATTTGATCAAGGCAAAATTATAAATAATATAAAAAAAAGGAATATAAATTAAAACTGATATGATAAAACTTTGATATAAATTTACAATAAATTCAATATTTACTTTTAAAGGTTTAATAGGTAACTTAGGGCTACAGTATACATGTACTGAGTACGCACATAGTCATATTAAAATTATAAAATGATAAACAGATGTCAAACTAATTTTCTTTAAGTTTGATTATATATTATATTTGTTTTTAATGATATGAGATGAAAAAATAGAGTGTTTATAAATTGTAATGATTTGTTTTTACTGTTATCACAGAAACTAATTCTTTGTACCATTATGTACAAAGATATTTTCATGAAACAGGATCTTGTTTCAGAACTCAACATGCATTTTCGACATGATTAAGTACTAAGTAGCGTTTTCCTGTGTGGCAGGGCTGAGTTTAAGTGGTTTATTAAACTATATGTTAATGTATACATGTGTACCCCTATCTACAGTAAAGGATGGAAATTGTAATTTAATACCAACTTCAACAAGCTTAGCAGAATATATGTAAACACTAGAAGTTTTAGAGGATGTAAAACTGTTTTACCAAGTAACAATATCCTGGTATGATTGAAAATTGTCTGTTAACATTTCTGTTACATTCAATTGGTAATTAAATATTGGGAATTCATGTGATCAACATGCACATGTATTGAAGATTTTTTTTAAAATTCTTTATATGTCATTGTTGCCAGTTACTGAACATTATAATTAAAATTTATCATTTTTTTAAAGTTCCAACTAGTGTTACATATTATTCTTCCTTAGTCTGTTTTCTCTCTCTTGTTCAAAATGTTGTCAAATGTTTTGAATCACTGACATCTATAAAGGGTAAAAAAACATATATATATTCTTAGAAAAATAAAATAGATGCCAACTTGAGCAATTGAACAGTTTTTTTTTTTATCGTTTTTTTCTTAGAGGTGGGATGAATATAAAATCACATTAAAATATAATGATAACAGCTATTATATAAAATGAAATTTAATTTATTATAAATGCATGAATACAGTTAATAATTTTAAGTACTGAATAGTTGGCTAAATTTGCGACTTTTGAGTTTAGTTGGATAATTAATAAAATCTGTTATTTTAAACTTATTGTATTGTAAATTTTATATCAAACAATGGCATCTGTATTAATCTATATTTCCTGAAAATATTATTCAGTTCCTTTCGGTAGTCTTAAAGTTATTGCGAAAATGCTACTGGTAGCGTTAGAAAAGTTGCTAAGTATATTTATATTTTATATATATTTTAACAGTAAAACTATAATTGAGCCGCGCCATGACAAAACCAACATAATGCGTTTGCGATCAGCATGGATCCTGATCAGACTGCGCAGATACAGTCCATGCTGATCCATGCTGTTTGCTTACAAACCCTATAACAAGTAGAGAAACTGATGACTAACAGTATGGATCCTAATTAGACTGTGCGGATGTGCAGGTTGGTCTGGATCCTTGCTGGTCGCAAACGCATTAAGTTGGTTTTGTCATGGCACGGCTATTGTTTCCATAATGTTATGGTGGATTCTTGAAAGAGTTGTAACATGAGCTCACATGAATATTGAACTCCCATGAATATTATACTTAAACAGAATAAAATGTTCCACAACAAAATATTATGATGCTATTTAAAGGAGTTGAACCATTTAGCAATGATTTCTTATATATGTCATTTGTTTTTAAGGCAATGTGGTCATACAGACAGTTTAAAAGTATTCTTTTTCCAAAATTCACAGCAGACATTTTAAAAGATATATAATCAATTGAACACCAGAAATAAGTTGTTTGTCAAAAGTAAGTGTATGAAAAATGAAATGATTTTGTAACATTTGCTACCACTAGTACCAGGTTTTAGACCAGTAAGATGATATAAAAAGATCTCGCTGTACCGTTCTAGAATTTTGTGATATAATTATGTATAGTTGTTTTCTACATGTCACATATTTACAAACATTGTGCACGTATCCGGTGTACATGATTTTTACTGACATTTTCTAGCTAATTTCCTTGTCATAAAATTATGATATGTGTAACAAATATAGTATGGCCCTGCTATACACAGGTTTTGTTAATTAGGCTTTAAAATGAAGATGTGTGCCGATGTATAACGATAGAACATGGTTAGATTTTAATTATAGAGCAATAACATGGATGTGCCTTGGTATGAACATGCCTTTTGTTTTAGTATACATTTGCAAAATGTCATTGGTTAAAAAACATGTATATAAATAGGGTAATTTATTTATACATGTTGTATTAGATTTGTGAGTACATACATGCCAGATATATGTAGGCAGAAAGGCCATGATAAAAGAGATCATTGTCAGGTTTCACAGACACTGAATGATTTTTATGTTCTTTTGGATCTTTAACATACACGGGATATTGAGTTCAATAATAGTTGATTAAATGTATTTTCTGTAGTATTTGCTTCAGTTTTTGAATAATCTACCCAAATTTAAACCTCACATTCCATTTTCTTGCCCCTTGAACTGTGGTTCATTCAAACTTTTACAATTATATAAACATTTATAATTACACATGATTCTGTTTTTCAATGTTTAAAACAGTATTTGGAGCTAGGTGACATGTAAAGTAAACTAAAGATGGGTTACATGTATTCTCAATTAAGGTCAACTTAAGATCTTTATTATTATCATTTACTTGACATTGCAGGGTGTTTTCTCAGGATTTTAGGAACTTGACCCATACCCATGGAATTGGGAATTTCAGCAATACTTTGTTATAAATTGGGGAAAAATGCATGACTTAAATTTTGTAAGTAAGAATACTTTAAAAAAATCATTCTGCTGAGAAAAGACGAGAAAAGGCAGTGAAGTAAACTTTAAGATCTACTGATGTTTGTGTCACACAAGGAACAATTTTTTTTTTTTCCCTCGTTTTCTTTGAATGTAAAGTAATGGAAATATCAATTTTTGTTCTTGTGTCAATGAAAAACAATGATAAGAACACTTTTGAAGATTAATCTTTAAGTATTTGTTACACATGGAGGTACATGTACCTGTACAAATTTATAAGGAAACCCAAGTCAAGACCTTTAGTGATAAGAGAAAAGAGAACTACTGGTAGAACTGTACCCATCTGGCTTTATTCCCATGATTACCTGCAGGGTACACTGATAATAGTGCCTATATATGACTGAAATAGAACATTCTGTTCACTTTTAACATTTAACAATGGTTTTCAAACATTAAAATATACATTGTTAAATAAATGGAAAGCGATATGATTACAAATTGTTAAATGGTTTCCCTTTCAAACAAATACAAGTGATTATGTATTGAAAATTTTTGTTTCTTTTGTGACTGACAACTGTAAGATACTTGAATTTGGTGATTGTTTCTCACATGTTATATTAAACAATGGATCTGAGTATGAAAAGAGAAATATTGAAGAAAGAAGGTGGGATTTTTAAAGTGAGTTGTTGTTTATTTCTGTCTCTTAGTATATCTTTGTTTCTATTTTTGGCACATTTATGATGGTGGTCTATTGATATAATTGACAAGTGTGCTCAACTTTAATATAGGCTTTATTAATACGATGCTGAATATTGAAAGTTGTTTTAATGTTAACTAGCTGGATATATTAACAATACATTTATATTTAAACACTAAATTGACTAAGTGACTTTAAAAGTCTGAGGGTGACAAATTTAGCTAGCTATTGAATTGGTCATATTTCAAGGTATATATATCAATATGTAGTGTATTATACTTATTCAGTGTTTGAAATTATTTTTTGTCCCATCGGATTGCAGTATTTCAAATGAATCATAACACATTTACTTAATTAAATTGACAAGCTGTTTATCAGTCTAGTAAATTGACTGTTTATAAAAATAATTTAAAACACTAAGCCGGTTGAAATTAATTAGTAGTTACTACGTATTTACAACATTTAGTAATTTTGTAAATTAACTTACTAAACTTTAACCTATACTTAAATTCAGTATTTCTCTAAATATTATGTAATACATGATGATATTGGTTGTGTAAGTGGAATTCTTGCTGCTCCTGCTCACATTTAAATCATCATAAATAAATAAATAATATAGTATACGCTCAATTTATTGATATATTCAGATTAAGTTCATATTTTGATTAGATCTAGAAAATAATTAAGTCATTGTTGATACTTTGGATTGATTATCTAATTTAAAATGTACATATATATAAAAGAGAATGTTTGTTTTATCAAAACAAAATCAAGCATTAATGTCCTCTAATCGTTTAATTGTGTTAGATATTCAGTGTACTATGGGACCAATTTAGCGCATCAGTAACTGGCCTGAGGCAGACTGATCCATCAACGGCTGTCAAGTCTTGTGACTGGATATAACGGTTTTACTATGTTGTACCCCAATACACAGTCATTTCTCATCACACTTGTTCATATGACACAATAAACATATTATATGACAATAGTGTAACACCTTCTTGTTCTGCTGTTTCACCTTCTTGTTCTGCTGTTTACATTGTGATTACAAGTTAACTCTTACCATAATGGAGCCTAATGTCCTATAAAGTTAAATTTCACTGATTGTCTATCCTGAAATATGTTATGTAGCTTCAGGCATTACTAAGATGTACCACTGACAGCAGTATATGAGTCTACAATATTGCTGCCATGTAAGTTCTAATATAATTGGGTGACCATATAATTGCC